CCAAAGCCCCTCTCCTCCAACCACCACTGCAAAACTCCCCCAGATTTCACTTTATCATAAGAATGAACCAAAGCAAAAGAAAGTATTGAGAACCCAGAAGATAACTATTGTACCAGAGGCAGAAGAGATTCACAGCCCCCACACTTACTATACCTGTGGAATCTTGTAGATGCCTAAGACAGTAGCCATGTGGAGAGAGATGTCAAAGTCAAGTCCCCCAATAACAGCTATCTTTTGTTCTTTCTTGTCACATTTGAAGTTGGGGACAATCCTTTCTGTGATGGATAGAAGTTTCAGGGTGTTCTGATAAGTCATCCTTGCATTTACATAGCTATCATAGACGTGAAACCCAAAGCTCATATTTGGTAGGATATTTGGGTTCTTGTTTATTTCTTTGACAGCAAACACCAGGGAGAGAGTATTCTGGTAGTTCTTCAGTATTTCTCTAATAAAAGAGTTATACTTTGTGTCAGAGGTATTCTCATCCGCTCCCTCTTAAGCAAATAGGTAACTTTCTGGCTTTCTCTGGCAAATCCCAAAAGATTAAATAGAACAAATAAGCAAAAAACAGACAAGCAAACCATATATGCATTGTGACTCTTGACAGTTCATAGCTGAAACCCAGGAACAATATTCAGTCAGCTTTAAGAATATTGCATCTAAAAAGTGTTTGATTTTGTGCAGAACATTCATATCCTGAAAGACACATACTGTATGTAAATTAATCTCTTATCTGCAGGTTTACCACTGCTGCCTAAAATTATGGGTCCTCACAGGCAGCTAGCCTCACAGGTGGCCATTCCTCTTGTGCTAATGTTGCAAAGGGGGACTCGATTGCCACATCCTTCTCTTAACTCCTTATTTCCTTTCAGCAACCAACAGACACTCACTGGATGAGAAGTTGCCAAGTCAGACATTTTGACTGGAGCCTCTCAGATAGAGTTTGGTGTAGGTGGTGTAGATTCCACATCAGGTGGAACAGGATATATTCTTTCTTAGTAACGGAATTTCCATCTTTCCCTCCTTCAAATAAGATTGGAGTTGTACCAAAAATACTGTAGTCAATGTTATTCATACTCTGAGAAGACCTATTATGATTAATAGATCAGACTAACTTAGGTGTATTAATTTCAGTGGGTCTACTCTGCAAATAAGCCAGATAGATACTACTTTGTTTTGCAAAAACAAGTTTGCAAGTTCTCTTTTATTATCAAATATGGTTTACATTGCAAAGCAGAGAATATAATCTAAAATCTATGATATTCACGTTTCACGGCATCTGTGACTGTCAGATTAAATGATTCTGATTGTGAATGTGAGGATCAAGCTTTGCTGCAAAGGAAAACCAAATGTTAATGGTGTGAAAGGAAACACAGAGGGAGGATGAGGATGAAGTTGGGAGAAAGTGGTGAGAGCCATGGGATCAGGTGATGAGAAAGCAGAACAGGCAGAAGATAGAAACCTCAAGAAGCAGAATAAAGCAATGAAGAGGCCAAGATCACAGTGTAAAGAGAAGAATATATATATTTAACATTCCTACTGGGGAACAAATCATGTGGAAACGTGTTCTGAGGGTGCCATTGTATGTTTGGTGTAATTGTAGCATACATGAGCTCACCAAGCTTGCACTATGAAGGATAGATTTTTTTTTACTTACAAAAGTTCATCTGTAAGCTTTGTGTTTGGGTGCTCATGGAAAACGATTTCTTCAAATACAAAGCCGAAATAATTAACAATCCCTCCAATGATTAGGTCCCCTCTCTGATAATTCTGGTATGGAAGCTGGAAAGGCTTCATCATGGTGCATCTAGCAGAGGGTTCCTTGCTCTCAGTTGGAGGGAGGCAACTGCAGCCACAGGATGAGAAGAATCTGCAGCAGAAATGTTCCTACCATCTTGGGGCCAATGCGGATGCCGAAAGTCAGATTTGTAGATGGTTGATGGATCCCATTTTGTTGCAATCCAGGTAATGTGCCAAGCCAGTTGTGCTCAAAGGCATTGCCACAGAATCAGTACTGATCCACATCAGTGGCAGTGATGGAAATAATTAAGCAATTCACTACTGTCCTGATTGTATCCTCTCAGTTTCTCCCAAAGGAATTCTTTTTTTAAAAAAAATAATTTTTATTAACAGGCCAATCAAATCACATTATTTCCAAATCACATTAGTTCCAAATTATACAGCCAGATTTTTAAATTTTGTTGGGGGTACCCATACTTCAAGCTGTGAACGGGGGTCCAAACATCACTTATATTGCTGCTTTAATAAGACAGTTCTATCCAGTTCTGTCCAGATAGTCTCTTTATTACTTTCTTCATCTTCTTGTTGTTATCTTATATTCCTTTCTTTGCTATCTCTGATAATCTTCACAAGCAGGTTGGAAACAAACATCCTCTGTGTGGGTTTTACACTCTCCAAAAATCATATCACATAGGGACAGACGCCATTCCACACTTTCGTAAAGAATTTATCCTCGGTCTGTCCTTTCATTTTCCCAGGCTTGCCAAGTATATCACAGAGGGCTCTGCCAGGTTTAGATCACATTCCAGTCATCATTCACATTCCGATGATCCTGGTCCTCCCCCCCCCCCCGGTCTTTTTTAGACAAGCCTGTCTTAGCGAGACGCCATTTAAAACTGTAGGGATATCACGGAGCGGGGAGTGGGGTCCGGAGGGAGCACACTTCCCCGCCAGCAGGCAGCCACAGTCTGCCTGCACGCGTGACCTTGGGGTGCAGGGAAACCCCCCCCCCAGACAAGCCACAGCTGTCTGGTACATCGTTCCACCTATGTCTGACCTTTTGCGGTCTCAGAAGTCAGCGGTGTCCTGTCTGTAAGTTTTTCCTTAGAGTCCTTTTGTCTCCTTTCGTCATACACTGTGCAAGGGGAAAATGACGCTGTGGAACAGGTGCCAAAATAGCTTTGGACCACCCCACGATCTCGGGACGGAAGATGTGTAAAGGTCACAGCCCAAAAATGTATTTGCCTGGCTTGCATATTTGTCTCAATAAAAAGAGGCTCCACAGGAATGGTGGTAGCTCGCTTCAGACCACCTGTGCGCAGCTCACGTGATGATCAACACCTGTCTTGGGCCTTCACTTCAAAAACTTCGTCATAAAATTTTCCTCCGTTCTCCGGTGATTACCAATCCTCTCTTTGATCCATAATTCACTCCACACAGTTCTTGAATTCCTGCTTGTGATTAATAAAATGCAAAAATCTTCTTTCTGGGGTGGAGGGTTATTAATACTCACATAAGGCAAAGAAAATAAAAGTTTTTTTCCTCCACCCCCCTTCCGTTTCGCTCCAAACATACCAGTCTCTTAATGGTGATTCATCACTTGATTTATTTGTCCCGCCTGTCGCTCTGGTCGCAGAGATCCATTAATCAGCAGTCTTAACTCCCGAACTTCACTTGATGTATGTGCTTTAGCTTCTTTCCAATTATATGTTTCCAATTATATTTTCGAGCTAAAGCGAACCCGGGCGCTGGTTGGAGACAGAGTCAGGAAGAGCCGATTTCACCGAGGGCTTGTGCCAGTGACCAGGCACCCCCTCCTTCGAATCCGGGGGTGCATTATGGACACCGCTGGCAAGGCAGTCCCCCCCATCTCCTTGGGGGGGGGGGAAGGCTGCATACTTCCCATAGCAGCCTCTTAATTACCTCGTGTGGGTCAGAGAGATGTTATTGTCGGCCATCTTCAAATGCGCCACCTGGTGACCCCTCTCCCAAAGGAATTCTTGGAGCTGCTCCAGATCTTTTTTATTGTTTACTTGTTAATTCTTTAATTATTTGTTTACTTGTTGATTCCTTAATTTCTAGGGACATGAGTATCCCAGATTTCTAATTACATACACGTAATTGAAATAGCAATAACAGACACCCAGAATTGCGAGCATGATTCAGACTTCTGGATTATTTAAAACTGTCTTCTTATTAGCTGCTCCCTGCTGTTCAGCTCAGGCCTCAGTAAAATAACATAGCATTTGGGGGTAAAGATGCAGCCCAGTAACCCACAACTGGAGGCCAAGATGGAGAAGATCTCCACAGCCACCATGTATTTGCCCTTGGTGCTCAAGTAGGTTGGAACAAAGGACAACCACACACTGCAAAAGACCAACATGCTGAAGGTGATGAATTTGGCTTCATTGAAACTGTCAGGCAAATTTCTAGCTAGGAAAGCCACCGTGAAGCTCACCATGGCCAGCCAACCCATGAATCCGAGGACACAATAAAACATGATAGTGGAGCCTTCATTACATTCTAGTATTATTTCTTCAGTCATTGAGTCCATGTCAATGTCTGGGAAAGGAGGAGAAGTTGCCAGCCATATGGTACAGATTGTGGCTTGAATAAGGGAGCAGGAAAGAACAATGGAGCTGGCCAGTGGCTTCCCTACCCACTTCCTCATTCGGGACCCTGGCTTGGTGGCCATGAAAGCTAGAACCACAATGGCAGTTTTGGCCAATATGCAAGAAATTGCCACTGAGAAGATCATGCCAAAAGCAGTTTGTCGAAGGAGGCAGGTCACTTCCTCAGGCTGGCCAATGAAGAGCAGAGCACAAAGGAAGGAGAGCAGGAGGAAAAGGAGGAGAATATAAGTGAGGTTGCGGTTGTTGGCTTTAACTATGGGAGTATCTCTGTGCTTTGTGAATATCTGAAGCACCGAAGCTGTGATGAAGGAAAAGAAGAGGGCGAATGTGGCCAAACTGATCCCCAACGGTTCTCCATAAGACAAGAATGTTTTGTCTTTGGGGAGGCAGCCATCCTGTTCATTGTTTGCATATTGATCTCCAGGGCATTCTAAACAGTTGTCCATGTCTGAAAATGAAAAAGAAATAAAGAAATCTCAGTTAAACAAAAAGGTCTTTTGTCCCGAAATTGGCACAATGTATCTAAGAGATGCCAGAATGTATATTTGCTGCTTCCATACTGTTTTCCCACAGAGAAAGGAGCTTCTGATGCACAGGTAAAATTAAAGCGTGTGATGGATTCCTTACCCTCCTTGTTTGAGATCTTCCCTTCTGGACACGGAAGGCAATCATAGCAGCAGAATGGCTTTCCTTCCTTCTTGTTCTTTCTATAACCTACATGACAATTCTCATTACACAGAGAAGTGGGTTGTGCCTGTTCATAAATGAAAGAAGGAAATCGTTTGGGCGTTTGCATCTGACTGACCTATCTTCTAATAGTAAACATGAGAGTTAAGTAATAGATTGCTTTGGATTTTTTGTTTTATCTAAAGATGATCTTAAATCCTGCTCTAATTGTAGCATTGGAACTTCTACCATTACTCCAGTACCTTTGCCTTTATGAAAACCATATTGGTAAGTATTTGAACTTCTTCAGAGATTAGCATGGCAATATCTTATCAAATTAGAAAATATTTGCTTGCAGAGTTACCTTCTTCATCACTTGCATGTGTCTTACAATTTTCTTTTGCAGAGCCAGGTGCTAAATATCATTGGTTTGTACCTGGGGTTTCTGTGAACATTCACTGTTAATCATTTAACTCTGAAGCCAATGTAAAGGAATGTGTTTTGTATCTTTACCATAATGCTGCAATCCAATGAGAAAGTTTAAATAATGGATTGACTGTGCGTGGAGTAATTGTGGGGTACAAATTAGGGCTGTGGAACAGATTTGGCCAAATCCCAAGATGAATTGGGCTGATTCTGAAGGAAAGGCAGGCAGTTTCTGCAAAGAGCAGCACACAGCTTTTTGCAACAGAGCTTTCAAATAGCCCCACACTGCACTGTGTATGTGTGCTTGTTCCAAGCTGGTGGACACATGAGTGCAGTCAAATGGAGCTGGATTGAAATCTCCATTCACCAGCTTCTGAGTAGTGGTCCAGTCCTGCAGGCTGCGGGGTCTTCTTCACAGTGGGTTCCTAGAAAGATTAAATCTTTCTGCTTTTGACCATTATGTCTGAAAGAGGTTGATTTTGCCCCAGGTATTCCCTGGCCCAGCCCCAGAATGGTTTGGGGGCCTGTTCACAATCCTGAGAATGAAGGATGGAACAATAATAATGTTTATATTAATTAAAAGACATACTGGGCTTCCTCAAATTTCATTGACTAGTAACACTTTCTTTATAGCTGAGACACTTCTGCAAATAGACATAGAAACAAGATAGCTTTCCTTTTATCAGTGCTACAGCCTGATATTTCCTTCACAGATTAAGTCCACTTCTGATAATTGATGATTCAATGTGTTGCAATGAGGCAGTTTTGGGACACTGAGCAAAAAACTAATGAAAACCTTGAATAAATTCTTACCTGGTTGAACCAGCTGGGCCACATGATACCATCATCATGAACGGTTAACCTCTTTTCTGGGGGAGCTTGTGGGTCCATTGTTCCAACTTTGACTCTCAGAAATGACTGATTTGGGAATGTGACCCAATTTATTACATCCAATCCAGCTACTAATTTCCCATTTTGGTCAAAGGAAACTTCTTCCCCAGCACTATTATTAAGTGAAACACTTCCCAGAAAGTGGTGGAGCTAAGTTTGAAGAGGAAAAAGCAATAAATGAAGATGCCAAAAATGATTAAATATTAATAATATTGGTACAAATAGAGTGCTTATCTTTAGCATTTAAGAGGTATAGTTCATGGTCTCTTTAAAAGATGTATGTTAGTGTCTTTCTCTCTGTGTTTTTAATGAGTCTCTTCTTCAAAAATGGATGGAGCTAAAAAGGAAAAAGGAATTAATGAGCTGTGCTATTTTCTAGAAAAAGAGGTGCTGGAACTCACCACAAAGACCTCCCTCGTCCCCTTGGAATGGCAATGGAGTCCCCCTGAGAGGGGAGAGAACTGAGTTCCAGCGAGTTCTGGCTGAGAAAAGTCCTGCTCATGAGCAGATACAAAAGAGCAACATTGTGGAACACAATATTCATTTAAATGTTTGGGAAGGGTAATTTCAATTGTAGCAATGTTCATTGTGGAGGTAAGATGTGGTTCTTTTGAGAATTACGGTAAGTCTTGGCCTAAATTTCAGGCCAAGACTTACTGTACTGACCGAAAACCCAAAAGAGAGTTTATCAAGGACATTAGAAATAATCCAAGACTTTGAAAAGGGAGTGGGATTTAAACTTAATAGCTCAAAAACAAAACTCCTGGTTAAAAACTTAACAATACAAGAAAGAGAAGATTTGGAAAAACCTCGAATCTACAGATCTGTCAAAAAGTAAAGTACTTGGGATTTGAATAACTTCAAAAATTATCTATATATTTCAAGAGATTTATATAAAAACATGGATTGAAATCAAGAGAAAGCTAGATATACGGAGTAGAGTGAAAATGTGCTTTTGGGGAATGATATCTACCATAAAAATGAATGTGCTACTAACAATACTTCTTTTGTTTCAAACAATTCCTGTAATGGCTGCCTTCAAAAATGGCAAAGAGACATTTCAAAATACATCTGGCAGGGAAAGAGACCAAGGATCAAACATAAACTCCTAATTGATATCAAGGAAAGGGGGGCTTCTCTTTGCCGGATCTTAAATTATACTACGAGGCAGCCTGCCTAACTTGGATTAGGGAGTAGTACACATTAGAAGATTCTGACCTAGTAGATTTGGAGGGCTACGGCAATCGATATGATTGGCACGCTTATTTAGCATAGGATAAAGAAAAGATTCACAAGAACTTCCTAAACCATATCATAAGAAAATCTCTGTATTCGGTTTGGACAAGATACAGAGATCTCTTGGAACCTAAAACACCTGGGTGGATATCCCCCCTAGAGGCAAATACTGTGAAAAAGAAAAATATGAAAGAGATTTGGCCCACATATAAGGTACTATTTAAAAAAGCCATTTCCCTTTCCCGGGGAGATGACGTTGTGGGCTGGGAGCCAGCCCTTCCCACGTGCACAGGGCGGGATAGCCCTTGCGCCATTGGATGGTCCTCGTCCACGTCATCCTTAGGTCATCCAATCCTGATGGTCTAGGGGTGTGGCGCGGGCTATTTAAACTGCCTGTGGCCGAGGACTCGTCCTGTTTTCTCCCTGCCTCCCTCCCTTAGGTTAGGCTCTTAATTTCTTGACCTTGCTGTGGACCTCGGTTGATCGCCTTGGTTGTCCAAAGGGCCTGGTCGGAATTTTTCCCCACTTGACAAATTGGCACTGGCCATTTGGTTTTTTGCTTACCTCATAGCAAATTGTCACAACTTTGTAAGGTTTGGCAGTTAGGCATTGGAGTATTAGGTTGAAGGTGAGGGGAAGTAGTAGCCATCACCTACCCCTCCTAATTCAAGGGTATTCCTTTAAAGGAATCTGGGGGCATGGCACGACGGCATGGCGTGGTCTCTGTCCAAAGCCCCAGAGAGGGGGCTAGGGCCATGGCACGAACCCTAGCGATGACCCTGGGGGAGTTCCTCGTTGATGTGCATCAGCAGGGCTCCCCCTACTGGTGGTTATCCCTTCCAAGACTCCTGCAGACGTGCAGGAGTTAGATATAGTTGTGTGGTTTCCCATGCCTAAGCCAATGCCACTCACATTCCGTAACCAATAAAGTTGTGGCCTTTTCACCCATTAACCTAAAATACTGTTTCATGTGTCTTTATTCCACTTCCCCGGTGGGTCTGGGACCTTGCCACACAAAGAAGAGAACCAACTAAAACTCAAAAAATTGAAGAAATAGGAGACCACTTGACAGACTTGTTCCAATACCATCAATTATTTGAAACATTTTAAGCCGATAAAAGAAAGGGATTTGCGACAGAACCATCTAGATTAGAGGAAGACCTGATTAATTCAAAAGGGAAAACTTTGTCTAAAATGTATGTGGGAAGTCAAGGAGGAGGAGGTTAAATGCATTATGATAAAATGGGCCCAGGACTTTGGGTACAACATCTTAATGAAGGACTGGAAAAAGTAACATGAAATTCACTGCTTGCTACATATTGCGAGAAAACTTTTTGAAAATGCAGTATCGTTGTTACACGACTCCATTAAAACTATCGAAAATGTACAAAAACATATCAAATCAATGTTGGAGGTGTGGAGAAGCAGTGGGTTTGATGTTGCACATGTGCTGGACATGTAAAAAAAAATTAGAGTGTTTTGAGATGAGATCTATATGGAACTTAAGAAAATGTTCAGGGTTTCATTCAAGAGAGCCAGTGTGGTGTAGTGGTTAAGAGCAGTAGTCTTGTAATCTGGGGAACCGGGTTTGCGTCTCCGCTCCTCCACATGCAGCTGCTGGGTGACCTTGGGCCAGTCACACTTCTCTGAAGTCTCTCAGCCTCACTCACCTCACAGAGTGTTTGTTGTGGGGGAGGAAGGGAAAGGAGATTGTTAGCCGCTTTGAGACTCCTTAAAGGGAGTGAAAGGTGGGATATCAAATCCAAACTACTACTACTACTACTACTACTACTACTACTATTCTTCTTCTTCTTCTTCTTCTTCTTCTTCTTCTTCTTCTTCTTCTTCTTCTTCTTCATTTATAAAATAAAACCAGAGGCTTTCCTCCTTGGAATAGTAGGTCATGATATACCAAAGACCATAAGGGAATTATTTTTATAGGCAACTGTGGCCGCAAGAATCCTTATAGCTTCAAATTGGAAAGGCAAGGGACTTCCGGGGTGGCGCCATCGGTAATGGCGGACTCCCTCTGATCCGGAGGGACTGGCTCCACGAAAAACGGGTCTGTTCCGCTACGGCGAAGCGGGGACCCTTCAAAAAATCACAGGCGGAGGAAGCCTGTGACCATGGGACTCGGCGGGCACCTTTTGCGCCCCCCCAATCCGTAAAGGAACCCAACTACGGGCTCCGGAGCGAAGAGGGGTTAGTGGCGCGGTGCTGAGAGTCAACTGCTTCTTCCGTGGAGCAAAGCCGCACAGCCGTTGCCGGAGAGCGCTACCTTTTTCCTGGGACAATTTGGTTACAAAAACAGCTACCCGTGAGCAGATCAAACTAGGACAATTGGACTTTAAACAACGATCTGTGAGTAGAAGGGAAAATTGGATTAGAAATTCTTCTTAATTTGGCACTGAAGCGGGAAGGTCTAAACAGGAAGTCAGCCTTCCGTTTCTTGTAGATAGATTAAAGCAAAGACATGGCAAACTAGAGTTCAGGAGACAAAGTAAAGTACAGGTATAAATATGAAGAAGATCTGCGGAAGGGACATGGAAGAGACTTAAGGGTCTCGGACATAAGATTACCAGGTTAATGAACTAAATGGATGAGACAGAAAGGACTGACAAAACCCAGGACCAGGAGGAAGAGACGTTGGAGGAAGATTGGAAGAAAGTTTTTTTTAAAAAAATTCTATTTAGTATTGTTTTGTAAAATTAATGAGTATTAGAAAAATGTTGGAACGAAACTATTTGGCTTTAGCAGAAATGTTAAAAAGAACTATGCAAGAATATGTTATGGGTATGAGAAATTGTTATAAATAAGATTTAAGTTTTAAGTTTTAGGGTCTTTTAAAGTAAGATAAGGTTAAAATAGATTAAGGTAATTTAATGACAGAATATTATGAAAAATGGGAAGGATTTGCTGTTATAATTAATAACTGGAATACAAAAAAGGGAGGTTTGAGGAGGTCGATGAAATAAGGCAATGACAGTTAAGGATTTGGGAATATTGGATCTGTTTTTAATTGTTTGTGGTTTACTTTTGTTTTTTGGATTTTGATGTGTTTTGTCTTTGTTTTTTTTATTTGTATTGATTTGTATGGTTTGACTGCTGTTTGCTTTTCCTTTGTTTTTTTTCTTCTTTGTTTCTTTGGTTTTTTTGTAACTTTAAAATGCTTAATAAATATCATTTAAAAAAAAACAAATTGGAAAGGCAAAAACATACCATTAAAATTGGAGTGGCAACAAAAGCTAGTGGAATATGCAGAGCTGACTAAGCTAACAGAAAAAATAAGAGACAACACAGACCTAATATTTATAAACAAATGGTGTTTATTTAAAAGATATATTAAAGAATGCTGTAACAATACAATGTCTGTGGCAGCCCTCGAATAACTTCTGTACTGAAATGATTTAGCGTAAAGAAGTATAATATTAATGCCAAGCTAATATCGAAAACTGAGATAGCTAGTGCACTAAGTAAATGAAGAAATAAAGGCATTTGGAGTAGACGGGAAGTCGATCAGTCTGGTGGAAGATTTTGAAGACTATGTTATCATAACAAGTATTAAAACTTTCTTGTTGTGGTTCATATATGGTGAATTTTGATTTGGTGTTGCGTTTTACTAAGTTGAATAAAGCAAAGAAGAAGAAGAAGAAGAAGAAGAAGAAGAAGAAGAAGAAGAAGAAGAGGAAGAAGAAGAAGAAGAAGAAGAAGAGGAAGAAGTGGCCTACATTTCATAGAACTTATACCACAAATATTAGACAGGATGTTCCTTTAGATAGGTGGAGAAGCTATGTAGATAAGCTGCTCATCACTTTCCAGACATGATATCTTGTATCTAGCCATCTATAGCCATATTTTGCTATTCAAAGGACAAGTGAACCCACTTTAAAGTGATGGCAGCATTTCATCCACTATGTTTTCCTAACCATTAGTGGATAGTTACTTCCTCCCAGAGAGAAAAGTGGAATGGGTTTCCCCTACTGACATAGGTATTCAGGAGAAGTCCCCATTTTAGCTCAGCTCCAGAGTTGATTACAGACATCTGTATTAACTAGAGACAACATTACCTGCCACGGCTGAAGATCTGTAAGTTTCCATCTTGCTCCACCTGCCATTGCTCTGCAATTTAATTTGGTGGACTGCATGGTGTGCAAAGCATGTGCCAAAATATAGATTGCATTGTAGATGCTGTAGCTGTGGGCTGTCATGCTCGTTTCAAAAACAGACCCAGGAAGGCTCTCAATATTCTCCTCCCCAGTGCAGAATTTGCCATCTTTCTTCTCTGAAGCAGGGTCAGGGAAACCACAATTAAATGCCTCTTCCCAGAAAACCCTGAGAAAGCCATCTTCTTTTTCCAAGGTAGGCTTTCTCATCTGAATAAATTTCTGGAATCCTGGAAGATCCTTAGAGTGAGCTGCAAAGGATAGAGCCCCGTGGAGGAATGTGATGTCCCAACCTCTTTGAAAGGGAAATGAGGTGAAGTCCATCTGGGCTGTCATAATCCAGACTTTTGTATTTCTTTGCATTGGCACATCATTCGTTTCTGCAAGTCTGGGTATCGCTCTCATTATCATAATTGTTTGAATTTCACCATGCACAACTACAACATTGGCGGTGCTTCCCACAATAATGTTCATTGTTTTTGAACCTTCTTCCACCATTTCATCAAACTCACCAGAAGAGGTAGCCGTAGGGAAGCTTTCTATATAATCAAAGCAAATACCGTTCTGGGCAAACATAGGGAGAACATTTTGTACAAATCTCTCTCCAGGGTCACCATGGACAAAAAGCACACCGATCCACACCCAACGGAAATGCAGCAGTAACTGGAGGATTCCCTCGTATTGCTGAGTCCCATCTGGGAATATCCAGTGGGTGAAAATGGCTTGAATGTCATCATTCGTCACAGGAGAAGAGCTATAGATGAGCTAAATAGGGTCATTGTTAAAATCAAGGGAGGAAAGGTGATCCCCTGGGGCTGTTGTGCTATTTGGAGAAGCTCAGGAGTGGGATTGATAGAAGGTGGGGAAACGGACAGAAATACTATCTTGTATAAGAACTGAAACTGAAACTGCACCACCTATTCAATTAGGTTTAAGAAACTGAAGTAATGAAAAATGGAAATGAGCTGATTGTTTACCAATTGTAACACCAAGCTGAAAATAAGCAAACGCCATTTTAAATAAGCTGTACGTTCACTACCTTGTTTTGAAGCCTGTAACATACACTAAATTGAATATTAATAAGTTAACTGTTTCCTGAAAGAACTTTATCTCCTGATACATCTTTTGTCTTACCAACTTTATTCTGCAAAATAAATCTTCCTTATTTGTTCAACTTCTGCCTGAAGTTAACCTTTACCTCTCACAAAAACCGTTAGATAACCCGTGGTGGTTACAGAGTTTTACAGAGGGGAATCTGCTTCAGAAGGATTCCAATATCACTTATTTCTGTTGATTTGGAATGTTAAAGTTATCTTGGGAAATATATAAGTAATATTTCATCAGGCATAGCAAACACCAGTTGTGCTACCACAGGCAGCAGACGTTTTGTTACAGTCCTGCACAGGAGTAAAGTGTCCAATGAGGAATTCTTCCACCTGAGTTTTTCAGGAGGTGTGGAACTGAAGCAGACATATTTTCCACAACCTGCATTTTTGGTTGAAAAATACCAACCTATACCCATTATTTGCCATTCAATTACCAGCATGCAACCCAATGAGACTAGTCAGAGACAAATATAAATGGCTTTCATTGATGACACATGTTCCATGCAGACCTCTTACTCTTGGCATTTTGTACGTAGACAGGATGGTTGACATGTGGAGACATAAATCAGGTTTTGGGCCCCCAATGACTGCCTTTGGAGTCTCCTGAACATCACACTTGTAGTTGGGGAGGAGTCTTTCTTGGCTAGAGAGAAGTTCCATGGAGGCTAGGTAGGTCCAGCTTGCACTGAAATGGCTGTTATAGATGTGGAAACCCAGAGACATATTGGGCAAGATTTGGGGATTTTCATTTATCTCTTTCACAGCAAATGCCAAAGCCAGGATATGCTGGTAGAGTTGTGTCATTGGTCTGTATGGAGAGCGACATAGTGCATACCAATTCACATTCACAAACATAGAAAGTGTATGGATATATTGAAACACAAACCTGGATGTTTTGCTACCCTGAACATCTAACTCCTGCCATGTCACTGGCGGCCTGGCCCTGATTGCTACTCTTTCTGTTCTACAGAGGAGGAGGACAAAGTCTGGTTACCAAAAACTTATAATAAATTCACCTCTAATCTGAATGAATTACCACTTGGCTTTGCTTGAAGTCAAATATTAAATAAGAAATCCTTCGCTCACCATGGTAAATGAGCGGAAAGCCTTAACAAAGTGAATGGGGATGTTACTTTCTATGCTGCCTTGCAAACCTTTTTTAAAAAACTGAACACTGGTATAAGCCTACCATATAAGAAGAAGAAGGTTATCACACACTGCAGAAGTGAGTTTGAATGATGAGATTTGCCCCCAAGTCTCAGAATTACATGGGGGGGGGAGGGTGGTAGTATTCATCATACACTAGTGGCCAATATTGTGAAAACATTTTGGAAAGTATATGTCTTTGTAGAAGATTATGAAAAACTTGGCCTATCGCTCAAGATCCCAAAAACCAAAGTGCTGCACCAAAAAGCACAAAATAACCCTTATGCAGTGCCACAAATCCAACTCAATGGTGTAATGTTGGAAAGTGTTGATAACTTCTCCTACCTGGGCAGTTATCTTTCCTCAAAGGCCGACATTGATGCCAAAATCAAGCATCGCTTGTGACTTTGCAAGTGCGCTTTCTCCTGCATTGTGTTTGAGGACTGGAACATTTGCAGGGAAACCAAAATGCCTGTTTACAAAGCTATCGTACTACCAACCTTACTGTATGCTTGTGAAACATGGACCACTTATAAACGCCATCTTCAACTCCTCAAAAGATTCCCTCAAGGGTGTCTCTCAAAAATTTTACACATCACTTGGGAAGACACACAAACTAATGCCAATGTACAGGAAGAAGCAAAGATCACCAGTGTTGAAGCAATGATTTTTCAACATCAACTTCATTGGACTGGTCATGTTGTTTGGATGCCTGACTATTGTCTTCCGAAGCAACAACTCTATTCCAAACTCAAGAATGGAAAGCGTAATGCTGGTGCTCCAATTGGAGAACAGCTTTTAAGAAAGGTGCCATGGACCTTGAAGACACTCGAACTCAGGACGAAATTGAGAAACACGCTAAGAGGAAGGCATGTTTAGCAAACCTTCACCATGATCAACGTCCAGAAATCTATGTCCTCACTGTGGAAGGCCATGAGAATACAGAATTGAACTCCACAGTCACATACAGATTCACTGTTAAGACCGTCTTAATGGAAGACAATCTTACTCAGCTACGAGTGATCACCAAAGGAAGCAAATAACCAAATAAAAGAAGTTATGCACACAAAACCATGATAAAGGGTATTTCATAACTTTTCACCATTTATGTTAGTGTAGAAACTTTTTGCTGCAATTGCAGCTCTGCAATGACAGCCCATGGAGTAAAGGAAAGATTTTAATTCACCAGGCGTTTTAATGTGAAACCAAGATTGTATGACTGTTATATAAAATATGTGCTTTATTCCTTGGTTGCTTCTGACTAAAAAGTTTATTTAATCAGCTCCACAGATATTCTGTTGGATTCAGGTCAGGGCTATTCAACACAGTTTGTGGCATTATATTCTGCATTAGATTACCTTTCTAATGATATACTGTAGAAGTTCATTCTAATTTTATACTTTTCTTATGAGCTGTCAAAACTTAGAAATACAGCTTTCCCTAAAGTTTTCCACAATTTTGACCACTAGTGTAATGAGCATCACCTTCATCATATGTCAAATGCAGAAATATATTCATTCCAGATATACAATACATTTTTTAAAACACACACACACACACACACACACACACACACACACTTCCTTACAGAATGTCATCGAAGAGTTCAGGTGTAGGAGGTTCACTGAAGGCTATGCTTGAAGTTATATGGATTTGAGACATAATGCCGGCAATAACAACATCTCCAGACTGGAAATATTTGTGAAGAATAGGAAGAGGGTCACGGATGGAACACGGAGCAACAGCAGCCTTGCACTCATCTGGAGGAAGCAGCACTGATGCCAACATCATGGAAAGTACCAACCTGCACAGAGTATTGTAGGCGCAAGAGGAAACTTGCACACAGTCTGAGGCAGCAGCACAAATACCAAGATTGCAAATATTACCATGTTGCAGGGAATTTTGTAGGCGACAATTCATCTCTTTGCACATTGTCATCTGAGTGATTCTGAGCAGCAAAGTCTCACTGGGATGGTTGTGAAAGCCAGATTTTTCAGGAAAAAGAATCAAGATCAGTCTGACAGAGCCCTTGGTGTAAGGCCAAAGTCTGAACATTACAGGAGATATTAATAGTATCTGCAAGTCTTGATTCATAGTTTTCATGCAGCTACTGGAATTCCCCAGAGACTCAAAGAAATGATTGTGATTACTTTGATAATTAAAGGAGACTTCTCAGTGATTTTTATTTGGGGGGGGGGAGCATGTTTATCACATCATAGCCATAGTCTCAGCTGGTCTTCCTTAGTAGGGAGAGCAATAAGGGTTTATGGAGAGTCAGCAAAAAAGAGAAAAAAGGTTACCCAGAAAACTACTTAAGGTGAAAATATATAATAAAAGAATAAATGCTTTACAGCCGATTTTTCAAAGAGGTAAAACAAACAAACAAAACCCTTTGCATAACCTTTAAATCAAGTACGTTACCCATTTTATCAACAAAAATTGCATTACATTAACTAACACCATATGGACAGACAATATTTTTCAGTGGAGAGCCAGTGAGATGTAATGGTTAGAGTGTTTGACTAGGACATGGGAGACCCAATTTATTACAGTGGTACCTCGGGTTACAAACACTTCGGGTTACAAACTCCGCTAACCCAGAAGTAGTACCCCGGGTTAAGAATTTTGCCCCAGGATGAGAACAGAAATTGTGCGACGGCAGCGGGAGGCCCCATTAGCCAAAGTGGTACCTCAGGTTAAGATCGGTTTCAGGTTAAGAACGGACCTCCGGAATGAATTAAGTTTGTAACCAGAGGTACTACTGTACATACAATCCAGCTACTAATTCCCCATTTGTATCTGTCCTACATGGAGAAGATAAACTCAGAGAATATGGGTCTCATTTGTAGGCAAATGAGTACTAGTGGGTAATAAATGCCATTCAAATGATTTGAAGCCCCACTTGGAAATGTGGCAACATCACATTGTGAAGCCAGGTGGATGTGTACATACATGTGTATCTACAGGTGGATGATGACGGAAAGTAAAGCCTTGGCAGAAGTGACATGTTTCACACTGATGATCTCTCCCCATGAAGGGATATACCTTTGGCACCCTATGAATGGAAGATCAGTGTATTGATAGGATAACAAATTGCCAGAACAACTTTATGGGGTCAAAAATGGGTCTCAGCTTTATTGGTTACAGATGTAGGTTGGAGGCTTTTTCTGGGAATGAAAAAGATGAAAAGGATGAGTGCTGAGAAATCCAAGGAATTACTTTTTTCTTTTCTTTTTTTTAAATGATATTTATTGAGAATTTTAAAGTTACAAAGAAAAAAGAAGGAAAAAATAAGAAAAAGAGAAAAAGAAAGAAAGAAGTAGATAAAAGTAACAATTAAACAATACAAATCAATAAAAACCAAAGTCAAAAAGAAAAAACACACACACAATGCAACACAATCAAAAAACAAAAATATACAACAAATTTAAAAACAAATCCAATATTCCCAAATCCTTAACTTTCATTAACTTATTTCATTGACCTCCTCACACCTCCCTTTTTTGTATTCTAGTTGTTAATTATCTCAGCAAATCCTTTCCATCTTTCACAATATTCTGTCATTAAATTACCTTAATCTATTTTAACCTTATCTTACCATAAAATACCTTAAAACTTAAATCTTATTTATACCGGATTCTTTTAACCAATAACATATTCTTACATAATTCTTTTAAACATTTCTGCTAAAGCCAATTAATTTCATTCCAACATTTTTCTGATACTCATTAATTTTGCGATACTTTCCTAAATAAATTTTTAAAACTTTCTTCCAATCTTCATCCATTGTCTCTTCTCCTGGTCTCGGGTTTTGTCAGTCCTTTCTATCCCATCCATCTAGTCCATCAACCTGGTGACCTTATATCCGAGGTTCTTAAGTCTTTTCCATGTCCCTTCTGCAGGTCTTCTTCATGTTTATACCTGTACTTTACTTTGTCTTCTGCTCCTTTCACTCTGGGAGACTCCAACTTGACAATATTTTTGTCCCTTCTCAACAAGTCAGCCCCTTTTCCATAGCCAACACTGAAATCCATGTGGTATTTAAAGGCATGTTTCAAGGCCCCTCCAAAATTAGGGGCCCCCACAACTCCGAACTTCCCCCGGCCTAAAGCCAGACTTGAAAAATCAAAACATCTCTGCATAGGGGGGTCCATCCAGACCCCCATCTCCAAACCAAGCAGAGCTCTGTCTCTCCAAATCTGACTTTTCCCAGGCTCATTCATAAAATCCAACGACTCATGTTCCTGCTGGGCCACAGCTCCCTCCATCTCTGCCACCCGAGGTCCAGCAACAGCCTCCTCCCTCATCTCATCTGTCAAAGCACATTCCTGGATTAATTCCTGAGTGGGTTCTATATAGGTACCCACTGCCTGTCCAAAATTTCCTATCGCAACTGTCATCAGATCCATTTTCTCATGTAACTGTTCCAATAAAGCACTTGTCTTGCAAAGAGCAAGCACCAGAGCTTCTGAGCACATTCTTGTTCAAGGTCGAAGTCTGGTCCCACAATCTTAATCTTTTACAGCTGCAAAACTCCCCAGTTCGACTTTAATAACAGTTTCACAAGCTCCCTCTAGGGGAAACAATTTCTATTTGTATCCATCTTCCCCCCCCTTTTTTTAAAGGCAGATTTAGCAACAAAGTTTTCCTTTTTCGGATATTTTGTCAATATTTTGTTCCTTTTAAAAGCGAATGGGGACAATGGAATCAATATGTTTCTGTTCTTTTAACTATCTGTCAAAGACGTTTGTCCATAGTCAATGAGCTTCTCCAAAACATCTGTCTTGACACCCTGCTCCCAGGTTCAAGACGGTGGAAAATTACCTTTCTTTACTCTCTCTTCTGCAGGTTTAAGCAGTCTAAAAAAGGTTCCCCCCTCTTCTCCTGCTTCCAAGGGGGGTTCAGTAATTTTAAATGATGAAAATTTAGTCCTTTACAAACGACTTTCTGAACTATAGCTTGCCGTGTCTTTGCTTCAATCTATCTACAAAAGCGGAAGGCGGACTTCCTGTTTAGACCTTCCTGCTTTCGGTGCCTAATTAAGAAATTTCACAGTCCAATTTTCCGTTCTACTCATGGGCAGTTGTTTGAAATCCAATTGTCCACAGGAAAAAGTCAGCGCTCTCCGGCAACAGCAATGTGGCTTCACTCCGTGAAAGAAGCAGTCGATTCAAAGCACCACGCCACTCACCCCACGTTGCTCTGGATCCCCAAAACTGGGTTTCCCCGCGAGTGGAGGGGGCGCAAAGGTGCCAGCCGAATCCCACGTCCACAGGCTTCTCCTGTGGTTTTTGATGGGTCTCCGCCTCACCGTGGCGGTTCAGACCCTGTTTTCCACGGAGCGGGTTCTTCCCGATCGGAGGAAATCCGCCATTGCCAGAGGCACCAACCCGGAAGTCCCAAGGAATTACTTTTTTCTGCTTTTCATTCAATTAATGCCAGCAAACAATGCAAAAATTAAAACCATCAACACAAGTTGATTCCTATTTGCTCCTCAGAATGAAGTGGTCTTTGCTGTTCAAGTCAGGCCTCAGAAGAATTATGTACAATTTGGGGGAAAAGATACAACCCAGCAAACCTGCGCTGGAGGCCAAGATGCAAAAGACCTCCACAGCCACCATCTGCTTTCCTTTGGTGCTCAGATAAGAGGGAACAAAGGACAGCCAAACGCTGCAGAACACCAACATGCTGAAGGTAATGAACTTGGCTTCATTGAAACTGTCTGGCAACCTCTTGGCCAGGAAAGCCATAGTGAAGCTGACCATGGCCAGAAATCCCAGATAACCCAGGACAGAATAAAACATCGTGACAGAACCTTCGTTGCATTCCACAATGATTTCCTCCATCAGAGAGTTCATGTCCACATCTGGGAATGGAGGAGCCGTACAGAGCCAAGCAGAACAAATGCTGGTTCGAACGGAGCAGCAACCAAGAAGAACAGAGTTTGTGAGAGATTTCCCCACCCATTTCCTCATCCTGGATCCTGATTTGGTGGCCATGAAAGCCAGAACCACCGTGATGGTTTTGGCCAAGACACAAGACACAGCAATGGAGAAGATGATGCCAAAAGCTGCTTGTCGTAAAGAGCAGCTCACTGGGTGAGGCTGGCCAATGAACAGGAAGCAGAGCAAGAGGGCAAGGAGCAGAGTGTAGGTGAGGTCCCGGTTGTTGGCTTTGACAATGGGAGTGTCCCCATTCCTAGAGAAGACGCCAAGTATCCAAGCTGTGACCAGAGAAAAGACCAGAGCTAAGGAAGCTAAAGGGACGTGGGTGGCGCTGTGGGTAAAACCTCAGCGCCTAGGACTTGCCAATCGCATGGTCGGCGGTTTGAATCCCTGCGGCGGGGTGCGCTCCCGTTGTTCGGTCCCAGCGCCTGCCAACCTAGCAGTTCAAAAGCACCTCCGGGTGCAAGTAGATAAATAGGGACCGCTTACTAGCGGGAAGGTAAACGGCGTTCCGTGTGCTGCGCTGGCTCGCCAGATGCAGCTTGTCACGCTGGCCACGTGACCCGGAAGTGTCTGCGGACAGCGCTGGCTCCCGGCCTATAGAGTGAGATGAGCGCACAACCCTAGAGTCTGTCAAGACTGACCTGTACGGGCAGGGGTACCTTTACCTTTACCTTTAAGGGAGCTAAAACCTAAAGGTTCTGCGTAGGAAAGAAAATGTTGGCATTTGGGGATGCATTGATCTCTGTCCTTGTTTGGAAATTGGTCATCTTGGCATTGGAAACAATAATCCATATATATATATATAAGTTTTTATCTGGGCTACCGCCAGAGATCTGAAACCGCAGCAAAGGTGATCTCTACAGGTCAAGTGACTGGGGAATGTGCCAATCACTCCCTGATGGCGCTTTTGGAAAAACAATTAGGAAATGGGGAGAGGTGCAGGGCCCTAGGCAAATAAACATTTTGTTGCTTTCAATTAACCATCTTGCTTTTAATTCAGATCAGCTTGCACCAGCAGACAGGCATTTCTGCAAATTCAAGGACCTCGAGCTTAACAACCTGTTTTGTCAACAGCTCCCGGATCTGCAGTGGCATGGCC